ACCCCCCCCCCCCCCCCAACCCCCCCCCCCCCCCCAACCCCCCCCCCCCCCCGGCTTCCCAGAACCAATACAGGGTTACAGCAATAGGTGGAGGGATGCTCATAATCTTATTCCTTGGCTTGTCTCTCCCCCCCCCCTTCCCTGAAAGGGGCATCTCTGGCGGGTGGCAGGCAGAGAAGGAGAAGAGACGCAGGACTGCCCCCCCCCCCCGGCTTTTCCAGCCATCCTTCCTTCAGAAAAGCTCTGTACTGAGTGGGGGGAGATTTTATATCTTGTGGCTGGAGACTTTGGAACCATCAGTCACAAATCGCCGGGTGTTGTGGTCAGAGCCTGGAAGGGCCTTTGGGGTGGGGGTGAGGGGGCAGCCTGGTTGCCCTTTGGACCTCTGCTTGTTATAGAGATTGAGGCCTAACTCCAGAACTCGGCTGCCCGGGCTGGCCGGCCCACAAGCAGCACAGCAAAGGCGGGTGGCAGGCCTCCGCTCTGGGTAAGCAGCTGCTGGTGTCTTGGCCGCCTCCGTGTCTTCTGGGATGACCGAAGTGGCTGAAGGAGTCCGGTGGCCGAGTGGAAGAGCTGGCGTGGGGCTTTCCTGCAGAAAGTAACGGAGGTGCTCTGGCAGGCCCTCGTGCGAGCTCTGTTGCCGACTCGGGCGAAGAGGCCGCAGGGATCGTGGCCAGGAGACCCAGACTCACGGGAAGCCTCGAGGAGCAGCTGGTGGGAAACAGAAACAGCCGGATTTCGACCTGCAGGTCTGGCCAGGAGGAGCCCAGATGAGCAGAGATTATTATCTCCAAGATCAACATCAGACTCACAGCCAAGTAAGTCATCATCCCACCAAGGGACTGCCGAACCAGCCCAACCGAAGAGCGTCCGAGCCCCCCCAGCGGCACTCAGAGGGCAGCCACTGGAATGTAAACTCAGAGCAACCCCGGCTTCTTACGAGCACTGATGATGGTGCCTAGTTGGGTCATTAAACGTCTGCAAGAAAACAACCAAACTCGGAGGGCACAAGGACTCTTCAACCCCACCTTTGCCAGCATTAGGACTGATGACTGCCGTGCCTTTCGTATGGGGCTTCCTTTGAAGACTCTCAGCAGCCTCTCCGGTGGTGATGGTGGGGGGCTAGAACCGCCCCACACATGTAACATGTAACAAACAACTGGGTTTTTGGAAAGGTTCTGAGCTGCTCATTTTGCCCTAAAAAGTAGAAACTCCCTCCCAGGTACAGCCCCCCCCCCTCCCGGTCTGGCTTTCCATCCAGGGTGCCCTCCCCAGAAAAGAGTTGGGGGCTTCCTCGCCTGACCCTCGGGAAAGAAAGCGGAGCTTCCAGAAGGGCTTTGTGGAGTCTTTCACGAGGTTGCTGGAGTTGAGACTCCAATGAAGCATTTATAGACGGGGGTTTTGCTGCTGTTTTGCTGAAGTTTGTCTTCATTTATTGACTTGGGTTTTGCAAAGTCCCTGGGAGACGCGTTGGAGCGTGGCGGCCGGTGCATATGGGGAGTGGGTGGGGCTTTGTTCTGTGGCAGCTGAGGAGTAACAGAGAAGAGGGCTGGCTCAAACTAAACCTTGGGGCAGGGGCGTCCCCTGAGGGGAGTCTGGGAATCCCAGAATAACTCCTGTCCAAAGGTGCTGCTGCCCTCTGAGAGTAGGAGGACTTGCTTTCATGCCCACAGCGCCCATTGCGTGCCCGGCTGGTTCCCACTGGCAAGAGTAGAAAAGCCTGAGCTGGAAGGGAGCCCTCTGCTGCCCGCTCTCCTAGGCACCTCTGGGCAAAGCCTCCAAGGCAGGCAGCACCCTTGGATGCCCGGTAGAAGAAGAGTTCAGGTTGGACCCCCAGAGGGAACGGGGGTCTCTCCTGACACTGGGGCAGCCCCTCCCCCCACTTCTGCTTTGCTCGTCTGCCTCCTGCAGCAGGGCCCATCACTCACCCGCTTGGCACAGTAGCCTATTGGGGATTTGCAGACCTGTGAGAAGCTGTGGGCCCTTGGCAGCCCCGCCCGGCCGGAGCCTCTTCAGCTGAGCCCCTTATGGGCTGTCAGTGGGGGGGGGTTGCTTTTCAAGGGCTGAGCCAGCAGGCCCATTCCTGGAAGCTGGAGATTGCAAGCAGGTCCTTTGCCATTCCAGACCCAGAGTTGTGGGGGCTCTTGACTTGTCCCCAGCCTTTCTCTGGGGCCCTTTTGTGCAGGGCGAGCAGAGCCCTGAAGCCGAAGTCCTGGTGCTGCCAGCCAGCCAGATGTTCTAGCAAGCAGAGGAGCAGAGAATCCGTGCCAGGGTGGCTCTGCCTGGTCTTTGGAGAACAGCCCCTCCGGAGCGTTTGCAACCAGCCCCAGGCTGGCCCCGTTGCTGTGGGTTGCTTTCCTCCTCCTCTGTGGGCCGGGCATTTTGGAAAGAGTGTGCGTTGACAGGGCTCCAGTGAGTCATGTGCTCCAAAGTGCTTCCCCACCTTCCCCGGAGCTTCTCCAAATAAACATTTCTCTGGAAATGGGGGAAACTGGGCTCTATTGCCAAGTGCGGATAGGAGGCCTGCAGGCTGCCTGGGAGGAAAACCCCCTTGGCCTTGGGGCTGCAAAAGGGAAGGGGCCTCCCTCCCTCCCTGCTTGCAGTCTCTCAGCTCAGCCTTCTGGAGAGCTTTCCCCATTTCTGCTGCCTCAGAAAACATGAGACAGAAGAGCAAGCAACACTTTATGCAAAGAGAGAGTCTACGGAAGCAGCTTTCAAGGGCGACCTCCTGGGGTTGCCTTTGAAGGGCATCCGGGACCTTCAACTGGCGCAGAACTCGGCTGCGGTGGGGCTTAATGGTGTCTCTTCAAGGCGTGGGACACTGCGCCAGCGGCATTGGCCCCCAGTCTGCTTCCCACTGATTGCCAGCTGTGAAGCCCTTCGTGATTTGGGGCTGGGGTCTCTCCCCAGGCGTTTCTGCCCATCCCACCCGGTCTGCTCGGGTCCCATCGCCAGAGATTGCTGGTTGCTGGGAGATGGGAGATGGGCCTTTCCTGCTCTAATGCCCATCCTCTGGCAGAGTCTGGGGGTGAGGGTGGCCCCGACCCTCCTGCTGGACTTATCCTGATGCCCCAAAGACCTGGCTCAGGGCCTGGGGCCCTGCATGTGCGGAGGGGGCCTGTGGTAGGGGCTGCTACGTTTTCCTTGGCTGCTGCTTTGCATTTTGGTCCCTGTAGCTGTGATCGTAACGGCGTTTGCTGATCTCGTGTGATTTTAAAGACGGTTCACTTCCCAGATTCCCAGGTGGGCCGGTGGGCCCTTCCAGCTCTGCCTTCGGTGGTTCTGGGAGCTTCTCTGCCAACCGTCTTGCCTGGCAAAGGCCGGGTGGGCGCTTTGCATGAGGGGGAAGAGCCGAGGGGGAGGCCGACTTCGTCTGAAAGCCTTCTTCACCAGGATAGCAACAGGAAAGGACCTGGCTGCCCCCTTCCACCCTTCCTTTGCTAAGCTGGGGCGGGGGGGTCATTTACGGACCAGGATACATTTTGTCTTGGGGTTTTCCTATCACCTTGTGGAAGGAATTGCTTGCTCAGCACTTTTTCTGGCTGAGGGATTCTGGGAGCTGAAGTCCAGAGGTCACGAAGGGGCCATTGCCCACCCGTAGGGGGGGAGGGAGAAGGGAGACCTCCAGGAACAGCCCTTAGCAGGAATGTGGGCGGAGGCACTGAAAAGACCCTCCTTCATTTGGGGGCTCTCTGAAGGGGAGGAGAAATGGACTTCAGCCTTACAAGCTGCTTTATTGTAAGATGATATTAACAGGGTCTTGCTAGTCTGAAAATCCATTTCTCTCCCCCTCCCCGGTTCTCTTTGCTGCTCAAGAAACAGGGGAGGGTCCCTCCTGAGCCTCTGGCCACGCCCCCATCCCTGCTGTTGCCCAAAGGGCCGTTCCAGGAGACCATTGCAGGATTGCATCCAGTTCCTCGGCATCTGCTTCGCTGGCATAGAGGGGCCGTTGTATGGCAATTGGCATGTGGGCGAAGGTGGGACCAGGCAGGGTCTCTGCTGTCTCACAGAGGGACGTGCGGGGGTGGGGGGCACAGAGCTTAGCTAGAGCAGACCCTTTGCACATTTTCATTGGGGGGAGTGTGGTAGGTTGCAGCCAGGCAGGTACGGTCATCCAGGTGTGTGTGGAGGGGGCAGCTGCTGGCTTTTCTCAGTGGAAAGGAGAAAGACCCCCGCCCTGGGGGGAGCCCTGCTGACATGGGGCAAAGGCTTTTCAGGGCAGCCCAGGAGGAAATGGCTGGGCTGTTTATGGGGGTGGGATGTGCCGGAGCAGAGCAAAGGGCCCTCCGTGCGAATCTCGCTCAGTGCCAAGAAGAGAAGCCCGGGAGAGGGTGGCAGAGAGCAGGGCTCTCTGGGGACTCCCTAACCAGGTGCCCCTGGAATTGCAGCTTCCAGACGTTCCTGCCAAGGGGCTGGACAGCATTGGGGCCTGGTGGCTGCTTTGGGGAAGGGCAGCTGGGAGGGAGGCATCCCCTGCCCCTCATGGGGTCTCTGGGTTGATTCCCTCCCTCCTGTCGTCCCCCCCAGGTGGTACAAGCTCCACTCCAAGCCGGGGAAGAAGGAGAAGGATCGGGGTGAGATCCAGCTGAGCCTGCAGTTCACGCGCCACAGCCTGACGGCCAGCATGTTCGATCTGTCGGTCAAGGAGAAGCCGCGCTCGCCCTTCCGGCGGCTGAGGGACAAGATGAAGGGAAAGCACAGCTACGACCTGGACTCCTCCTCCGCCATCGTGCCCAGCAGCACCGGAGCCCTGGACGACGACTTCCGCCCGGGGCCCCCCAAGGACAAGGCCCGGGGCAGCTTCTTCTTCAAGGGCCAGCTGCGCCGCTCCTCCCTCACCCGCTCCAGCACCTCCCTGGGCTCCGCCAGCACCCTCTCCTCCGCCAGCAGCCTGGGGGCCCTGGGTAGCACCGAGGGGGGGGCGCCCTCACCCAGCCGGCACAGCAGCTTCTCCACCGACCCTGCCGGTAAGTAAGCCGGAGGGGGGAACCAGGACGGCCAGCGATGGAGCTATGCCAAGTGGCCTTAGGAAAGACCCCTCCCCCCGGCTCTAGGATTCTAGGATTATCCCCCTGGGCCCCCCCCCCAGATGCTGCTCCTTCTTTTGCTCTCCTGAGTCAGAGAACGGAGTTCCTGCTCTTGGTTCCCCCCCCCACTGGGAAGGATTGAATGGCTGCCCAGTTGCAGCAACATCTGCCAGGTGCCCCCCCCTCTGGGTCTCAGGGAAGGAGTGGGCTTTGCCTCTGGGGGCTTTTTGGGAAGCCTGGGCATCAGAGAAGTTCATGGACCCTCTGGAGCAGGTCCCCCCCCAAAAAAAGAGGCATGGCATTGGGAGGGAGACCCCTCCCCTTTCTAGTATTAAGGGTCTGATGGTCATTTGACAACCCAGCCAACTTTTAAAGTGAGTCCATTATTCTGTTTTGGGGGAAAGAACCAGAATAAGTCTGGTACCACTTTTTCTACCTTCAGTTTTTATTACAGGCATCAGGGCCACAAAACCTGATTTTCAATGAAACGTGCGAGTTGGAAAAGGCTGTGCTTAAAGCCATGGGGCTGCCCCTCTCTTGTGCCTCTGTGGGGCAGAGCAGCTGGGAGGCTGACCATGCCTGTCTTTCTCTCCCTCCCTCCCTCCCTCCCTCCCTCCCAGGGAGAGACTTTCTGCCCTCCCCCCAGCTGACCCACAAGAGGGCCTTCAGTGATGAGGTGGGCCAGATCAACCTGTTGCCAGAAGCTCTGCAGGGCCTGAAGACCCCAAAGGACCCCCCCTCCGGGTCCTCGCTCTGCATCAACGGGAGCCACATTTACTGCGAAGAGCCCTCCTCCAAGCCCTCCTTCCTCTCGCTGGCCCCCTTCCCTCCTGCCCAGAGTGAGCCTGGAAAGCAGGAGAGGGGCTCGGAGGCCGGACCGCCTGCTGCCCAACCGGAACTCCCGCCCTGGACTGCCAGCGATTCCCAGAAAGGACCCCCGAAAGACCTGCCCCGCTTCATCCCCTCGCCCCCCATTTTGGCGGCGCAGGAAGAAGACAAGCTCTCGGTGAAGACCATCGCCCTGAACAAGCAGCGGGTGCGAGCCAGGCGGGAGGAGCGGCTGCAGGCCGAGAGCAAGCCCGTTCCCATGGCCACCCCCCTGGCTTTCCCCTCGGAGGTCCGGAGGGTGAGGCCCCAGGACGAGAGGGACCAACGTGGGAGCCTCAGGGGCCACGGCCAGAGCCCCGAGCCCCATCTGGAGGCCCTGTCTGGAGAGAAAGAGGAGCCCCAGAGTGGCAGCAGGATCAGTCCGAGAGACCCCAGAGAGCCGGCTCGAAGGCCCAGGTGAGCCTGCATCTGTGGGGCTGAGCCATGGGATGGGGGTGGGAGGGGGTCCGGCTGTTTGCCCAAGGAAAGGCCAGAGTGCCAGGGAGGGCAGGAGTTGGAAGTGGTGCTTCTGGGCTCCAGAGCCTCTGCTCCTGGGCCATTGGCTCCAGCCAGCCCTCTTGCTGACCCTGTGCACCTGGGAGAGAGGCTGGCACACCTGGAGGGGCAGCTGTCTCGGGGGGAGAGGGGAAAAGCCTGGGGTGGCTGCCTGAGTTTGGGGGGTTTCCTGGTGCCAGGGCTGCCTGGGGAGTGCCCAGTTGGCATTCCAGCTGCCGGGGAGGGAAGGAAGGCCCAGGAGGTGGGAGATGAACCAGGGAGGCACTTGGAGCAAGGCAGCTGTTTCAGGCCCTCCCTGAGGGGGAGCTGGGCCCATGCGGACGTTGCCTCGGCCCAGACTCAGCTGCCCCCGTCTGTGGGAACCGTGATTGTAATGGGGTCTGCGCTGTCATTAGGGTTGGGGGACATTTGAGTCGGGGGCTCTTTTGAATTTGAACGGGGGGGACAGTAAAAGGAAATGCTGGAAGAAGAAGGGGGGGGTCCTGGGATCCATCTTGCTGAGCACATGTAGGGTGGGGGAGACGCAGATGAAAAGCACCTGAAGTCCATTTTTTTAATAAGTTTTTTTATTTATTTTCAAAACAAACACAACACATAAGATCTTCCTTCCTTACATACTGTAGAAAGTGTATCAGTTGGTTACAAAAGGCTTTCGTGCATCTCTTCCACAGCCATCAAGCATAATTCATATTAACTCAAGTACTTTAACTCAGATATTTATACATGTTACCATCATCATAACTCCATTTTCATTTGACTATAGTTGTTTATATTTCATCATAAAATATACCAAGATTTAATACATAACCACATACTGGCATTTCATTTAATATTTCTAAAATCCTCCAATAACACTGAATCCTTATGTCCTATTCTAGCTAAATATCCATACTTAATAACAAGGTTTTCTATCCTTCTTTCCAAATCATTGTTTATAATTTACATCTCATTTCCTTATATTGTACCCATCTATCTATCTATCTATCTATCTATCTATCTATCTATCTATCTATCTATCTATCTAT